TCATATTCGCGTTGCGATTTCCGCGTTGCGATAGTCAAATGAATGTCTAATAAGTGATAACAACTGAACATATCATAGCAATGTTCAAACTCAAGTTACTAATACATGCCTAACTGAAAATGTTAAAAGTTCACACATAATATACACATAATACAACGTTTGCATTTAAAAATCACCTAAGTTAACAGTCCCAAAAGGTGAAGCCAGTTGTGATTGGGATTTTGATGAGGATCCATATTTTGGTAGAGGAAAAGATGATTGTGATGGCACTGGTGATCAACATGTCAACCTTGTATAACCACTTTCCTTGCACTGACTACATATCAATCTCTTCTTCTCTTCACCCTTAGACGGTATACGATCGTGACTTTTTAGTCGGCCAGATAGCCTTCTGTCCATGGCTGGTGGCAAAACTGTTTGTAAGTCATCTGGTATGTCCCACTCAGAAGGATGTGGAATAGGGTAGACAATCTCGACATAAGTCTGTCGATATACTTCTGTAGTGTAGCAATCCATAGCGTATACACTTGAATCATCTTGGTTTAGATGAAGAGCAACTTTTATAACATGGCCACACGGATAACCAGATGTTTGCCATTTCATACAACTACACGTCTTTGTATTTAGATCGACAAGCCCATTTAAGTTATTATCTAGTACTTCAAACAAAGTGTTTGAACATGGTTCAACTCTCCATGACGTTGACTTCACAACACGTTTCGTTATCTTTTTTTCAGTCCATGGTGTAACACGATGTTCCTGTAAATTTAAATAAATAATACTTAGTAAAATATATGATAAGTTACGAATTTAAAGAAATAATACCTGCATGGTTTCTTTTCTTGTAGTACCACTGTTGAATAGAGGCTCGAAAAAACTCCATTAACATAGTAATGGGTAATTTCCGGGAATGACGACTTAGAGCGTTGATTGATTCTGCACTATTAGACGTCATGAAACCATATCTTGCTCCAAGTTGATGTACTCTTGACCATCTTTCAAACCCGACATCTTCTAGTGTTTGAGCACATTGAGGCAAAACATGTCTTAAACAGTTTATATGCTTATTAAAATCCACTTCCCGATAAGCTTTTACAGCCTTCCAGTATGTCCATTTGTGATTTTTTATACCAGCAGACCTTGATTTTAGATTTCTATACAAATGAACACCACAAAGTCCATGAAAAGCATCTGGGAAACACCTTCTAACAACGCTGTCAATTGAGTTTGCCCTATCAGATATGATTGTCAGATTGCTAATATGACCTATGCAATCCCTAAGATGCCCCATAAACCATGTCCATGAATCAGAGGTTTCAGATTTGCCAACCCCGTAAGCTATTGGCAGTATCCTATTGTTAGCATCCATGGCTACTGTTAATAAGTTTACTCCAAGGTATTGACCTTTTAAATATGCTCCGTCAACTATAATAACTGGGCGCATGCAAGTAATAAACGAACGAATCTACAAAATCATATACACAAGAAATATAATCATTTAAATGTGAAATGCATGTAAATAACAAAAATGAGTCAACAAAATTATATTGATTTACTAACCGCAACACCAATGGCGATAAACAGCAACTCAAAGCGTCCATCTCTATCTGTTTTGATATGAGTTACCGACCCATGATTTTTCAGCTTTAAATTGTGATAATAAGCCGGCAGTTGGGCAAACGATGCTTCTGGCGACCCCCTCAACAATTCCAAGGCATAACATTTTGCTCTCCAAGCTTGAGAATATGAGATACTAATCTTGAATCGAGCATTCATGTCAGTCATAATTTCATGTCCCTGATATACCCTGCCATTCAAAAACATTAACTCAGCCAGAAAACCACCCAACACATTTTTGTTTGCCTGTCTATGGTGAGGAAAAACTTGGGTTCTTGAACATGTATGTTTATCAATAAAAGTCCTAACTTGAAACATTTCGCAATCTTTTATCCTCTTTGCAATCATACGCCACGTACAGTTTTTGTCAATCATACACCTTGTTTCGAAACGATCTTTGCTTGATTTGTTAACTTTTAGTTGATAGCCATCTGCCACACATTTCGTATACAAAGCTATCTTCAAGTCTTCCTTTGTATCAAAACAATCATCTTTCTTGATACGAATAATTTTTGTGTAACAATCAACTGCTATCTTTACCAACTCTTCTTCCGGTATCTGAAGTAATTCTGGCATATTCCAGTTATACTCCTGTTGCATTTTCTTCGGGGACTTTTCTTTGGGGATTTCTTCTTCTTCTTTTTCTTCTTCAGGGCTATATGAATTACAGAATGGATGTTCAACATGTTCATTTACAGTCGTAACTTCCTCCTCATTATCATCAACAATATCTTCCTCGGCAACGGCTGTTTCATCATCAAAATTCGGGTATTGACCAATATCAAAATCATTACACGCATGGTATGTTTCTTCTTCTGAAAAATCATCAAAATCCGAGTATTGACCAAGATCAAAGTCTGGGTATTGACCAAGATCAAATTTCGAATACTGACTAGTACTCACAATTTTTCTGTTGGCTCATCATCGTCTATTTGGTCAATACGAAAACCGGAATTTGGTGCTGAAAGTTGATTGGGATTTGGATTAGGGAAAGGTTGTGGGTTTTGAGATTGTGTTTGGTATTGGAAATGTGGTGAAACAATATTTGCTTGGTGATGAAATTGTGGTGGAACCATTAAATTTTGAGCATCATAAACTGGGGTTGAAAAACTTAGTTGATTACTACCCGCTACTGACCCAACTTCACTACTTCTAGGTTCAACAACATACAATGTAACACCATCACTTGAAACACTAATGTAAGCAATGAATCGTTCAACATCTTCATTGTCGTTTAACAAATAAACTTTACCATTTCTCTGATAAGATAGCCTAAATCCACTTAGGGGCTCTAAATTCAATTTATTTGCAACACGTAACATTAGAGTTTCATAAGTTAACTTTTTTAATGACAGTTTTAGTTGAAGATTCATGGGTAAAGGCATATATTGTAAAACACCATGAACATTCTCCCATGACCCTCCAAAACACAAATCTATCCAAACATGATCAACATTAGATGATTTCATTATTGTAAATTAATTTACTAAACAAACGAGATGCGAAACTAAAACCTGTTGCCGGATAGGGAAGGATGTCGTTGGATATAGGAACGGATGTCGCAAGAGAGAGTGATAGATGGAGATGGAATGAGTTGCGATTTAGGGATTTAGGTTATGAGTTGATGCTGCTGAGTAGTTATATACCCAAAACATTTGTGTTGCAAAACTAAAACCTGTTGCGAATTCAGAAATCGAGTTGCGAATTTGAAATTAAGTATTGCGATAGTTAGAATCGCGTTGCGATAGTCGGAATCTCGTTGCGATAGCCAGATTCGTGTTGCGATAGTCAGATTCGCGTTGCGATTTACGTATTCGCATTGCGATTTACGTATTCGCATTGCGAATTACGTATTCGCATTGCGAATTAGGAAAATCGCAATGCGATAGTCAGAATCGCGTTGCGAATCTGGAAACTGATTTGCGATACCAGAGATCGCGTTGCGAATTATCGATCGCATTACGATTTAGTTGGTCATTTTGGCAAATCCAAAAAAAGTTGGTTAAAATCGTATATTATAAGGCATTTTTGGTCACTGAGGTTATTTTCTCTATAAAAATCATTTCGATGGTCGGAGACCCCGTCATCATTTATCTACCTGATTCCCGATACTGATTTTGTCCAACGATGTGTATGCAGGAGTACTAAGGAATAGGATGTAATATTAAAATTAGCCCTTAATATTTATTAAAATGATCATTTTTCTCCTTATTCTATTTTTTGGAGTATTTTGTCCCCTAATATTTTATTTTAAGACAAAAAGGCCTTTAACATTTATCAGAATAGTAACTTCGCTCCTTATTCTTTTTTCTGAAGCATTTTAGTCCTCTACATTTAATTCTAGGTTAACAAATTTTCTTATTTCAGAGCGTTAATTGTTTGTTAATTAATAGTTTACATCTATAGAGGAGGCTTTTTATCCCAAAGTGAAACGATGAGACTAAAATGCTTAAAAAAAGAATAAGAACCAAAATTACTATTTTAATAAACATTAGGGTTATTTTTGATGTTATGCCTAAATTTAAATTTGTTATAATTATCAAGTTTATTAAGAGTAAAATAAAGATTTAAAAAAAATATTAATCTTGACTTATTCAATTTACTTTTAATATACAAATTTTAAAATTTGATTTAAATTAAAATTTCAATTCATACAATTCTTTTAATTAGAAAACAAAATGAAATTATTTAAATTATTATTTTTTTACATTTCATTAAATGAAATAAAAAGTCCAACTGGTAAAATTTATTAGTTTATTAATTCAATTGAACAATAGAGTTATGAAATCAAAGGTTTAATTCTACTTTTACTCCATCTATTGTGGTGATATTTGGTGTTTAACCCATCTATTTTAATTTAATATAATTTGATCCTAAACTTTTAAAGTGTTATTTGCTGATCTACGTTGATAGTGCTCCTAGGTGAGTAATATTTTACGAAAAATATATTCCTAATTTTTCAATATTTGATTAAAAGAATAATTCCAATGAGCGGAATGGTACGGTCGATGGTAAAATTATTAATTTTTCATTAGCAATTTTTTTATTTTATAGAAAATTTATTTTATTTTATGATGTATTAATTTATATCACTGTAAATAAATATTTAATACGTTTAAAGTAAAAAATAATTAATTTACAGTGATGTAAATAAATATTTGTACGTAATCTTTATAAATAAGTATTTAACACATTTGAAAGAAAAAAATAACTTACATTGATGCAAATATTTTAATATTATTTTTTATCACAAATAATATCAGTTAAATTATTTTAATATTTTAAAAATTGTAATATTAAGATTTTTTTATAATAAATAATATTATTAGTGATATTAGATCGTTGTAATAATTTTTTTTAATTTTTTTTACCAAAACACAAAAATAATTACAATTCTAACAAGAAACCAAGCACAACTCGCACTTACTAAAATAATTACAATTTAACTATTACAGTAGCCATATATCCAACATAAGTCACACTAAAAAATTGAGCTCAGATTCTAAACAAATACAAAAATAAAGAAAAGGGAAATGTTTGTGGAACAATTATCATGTGAATATTGAGACCTGAAACAAATCCGGCAGATGTTCCGACTTACCTCGCCTGTGGACGATTCGAGTCGGCTCGTTTTGTTTCATGTTTTGAAGCAAGTGGAGATTGATGGTGCAGTGGCTGCTGCTGGTGATGCCTACGGTTTGTTTGACAGGCAGCGTGCTTTCTCGGCTCTTTCGGGGTTTCGTCTATCAAATCAATCTGTTCCAAAGTGTCTACGACTTCTTTCATTGACGGTCGGTACTTCGGTTCGGATTGAAGACATTTTAAAGCAAGCTGGGCAACTCGAACTGCGGCTTTGGAAGGATATTTGCCCTCCAACCGATGGTCCATTATGTTCTTCAATTTCCTTCTATCGGATAAATACGGTTTTACCCAGTCCACCAGATTATGTTGCCCATTGGGGCGATTTGTATCGAGTGCTCGCAGCCCTGTTAATATTTCAACTAAAACGACACCGAAACCGTACACATCACTCTTTACGTATAAATGTCCTGTTAAATCAGCCGAGGCATGAGAAGTGCAAAGTGGGGTTTTGCTCGATTGTCTTGAAAATGCAACAATATGTAGAGCAATGCAAGGACATCATATATGAAAGCACCCGAATTACAGAAAGGTTTCGGAGGATTACCCGTAGCAACGTATTCCGGAGCTGCATAGCCGTATGTGCCCATTACCCTTGTTGTAACATGCGATTGGTTGGCTGAAGGACCCAATTTGGCCAACCCGAAATCTGATAACTTGGCGGTATAGGACTGCAATGTAACCAATAGCCAAACCATTAAAATTAATGTCTCCTTTGTATGTATTCAAGGAGAATGCTCTATACTATATCAATTATTCAAGTCTTTAATCTCTAAATGAAAACACAAGTTGCATGGAAAGTTACCCTGTCGAGTAGTATATTTGAGGCTTTGAAATCTCGGTAAATTACTTTCTTGTCTGACGAGTGCAAGAAAGATAGGCCCTTTGCAGCTCCTATCGCGATTGTAATCCGTATTTTCCAGTCAAGAGATTGGACAGTAGAACCCCCTGGTAGCAGAAGCCATGATGTGTGCGATGAACAAAGTTAACTCGCCGGGAATCAGAGATTGAAAGTGTGCACACATAAAATATATGCTCACATGATAAAACCAGAGATATAAACACCTAAAGTCTAAACTCTTACTTCCAAATAGATGGTTATCTAGGCTACCCTTCTGCATAAACTCGTAAACGAGAAGCAGCTCTTTATCCTCCCAACAGTATCCAAGAAGCCTTACAAGGTGAGGATGAGACAACCTCCCTAAGAAATTTACTTCTGACTGCACCAATAAATGACAGAACAAAAGCTTTAGCAACCACGGATGTCTATACGTTTTAAATATTCGAAGAAAACCAGTAAAACAAGCAGTAACCAATTCCCAAAATGCACGTGTGGATATGTGAGCTATGGATGTATATCACTAAGAGAGATTTTGAAGTTCTATAACATGTACAAGTCAAAAGCGCCTATGCAAGATGACATGGAACGATATTATGAAGTTATAAGAGATATGGCATTCGTAAAAATATCTGAGCAACCACTGATGTCCATACGTTTTAAATACTTGAAGAAAACCAGTAAATCATGCAGTAACCAATTCCCAAAATGCAGGTGTGGAAATGTGAGCTATGGATATGCATCATAATTCATAAAGAGACATTTTGAAGTTCTATAACATGTACAAGTCAAAAGAACCAATGCAAGATGACATGGAACAATATTATGATATTACACGAGAAATGGCATTTGTAAAAGTATCCGAGCTACAAATTTTGTGGGGTGTTGGCGGGGCACGAAAACAGGTTATTTCAAAATGCAAACTGTAAAAAGTACTTCCAAAAGTGGCAATGTAAAGCATAATAATATGGTTTAGCCTTGAATAATTATTCACTTTTCAGCCCTCTTATAACAAGCTTTGAACTCTAAAGACATCATCATCTGTAAATAACAGAAAAATTCTTCGTTTCTTTCGGTTCTCTTTAACGAGGCATTTTTGGTAATTAGAAGCTTTTGTCTAACACATGTGAACATTTCATCTGAAGAGTATCCCTGGACTGATTAAAGAAGAAAAAGCAAGTAACAATATCTAGAGAATCAATGAAATTACCTTCCATTCCTCAAATCCTTGCCAGCCCTCAGAGCTGAGTTTCTTAACAGCAATGGGGATTCCAATTCCACTCTTCCCTGCCGCCTTCTCATCGAGCCAGCCCTTGAAGACTTTACCGAAACCCCCCTCACCGAGCACCATGTCAGGCCTAAAGTTCTTAGTTGCAACCCTCAGTTCTGCAAAACTGAAGTCCCTTAGGTTCGGGGTGGGCAAAATTTGCCCATTTTGAAAAGCCTCATCCCCACTCGAAGCCGAGAACCTGCTGTCCCGGGAGATGTTACTGTCCCTAGATGTTGCAGTAGAAGCTGTGTTGCTGGTTGATTGAGATATAACTATGGAAACCCACAGAATTGAAATATGCTTAGAACAAAAATAACATGCACATTTTCCAGAAATACACAAGCCAATGACCAAAATACAACAACAAAGCAGCATCAAAATCTGGGTTTTTGGTGCTGAGTACAAAAAGATCCTTAAACACTATCAATCAATTTCAAGTTCATTATTTAGCAAAACTACGAAACAAATACCTGAACTGAGATGAGTAGTGGTGGCTGGTGTTGGATTATCAGCTGGAGAACACCAGCAGATTCCCATCTTCAAAATAGCTCTTATCCCCAAACCAAAAACAAAAGGAAATATATTTTCAACAAGGTGATAATAAGGAAAATAATCAAAATTCTTGCTTTAATCAACAACAAAAACGGGGTTTGCTATTTTACATCAGTTGACTTCCATTGATGGTTTTCCTTTACACAAACTGAGTTTTCTTTTTTCAAGAAAATTCAACAACTAAACTTTGACAATGGAAATAAATAATAGAAATATACATTGCAAGCAAACAAAATTTAACCGTGCATGTGCTCGGGGTAAATTATAATATATATATTGATGAGGGGTTAATTTAGTTATTATTTTATTGTTAATTACTCTTTACTTGTCGGTTTATATTGTTAAGTTACATTTTATTTGACTGAATCGATTCTTACTCTCTTTATATTATTCTTTATTTTATTTGAGATTAAGGTATATATTATTTGACAATTAAAACGACGTGTTAATATATATATATATATATATATATATATATATATATATATTTATTATATTTTTTTATTTTAATCATCAAATTATATTTTTTATAAATTGTAAATAATATTAATTTTTTTATTTTGATTATTGACTGTTAAAAATTAATAAAATACAGATGTAGTTTTTTTATTTGACATGTTATTTTCTCTCTTCTAATATGTAATTCATGTGTCATTTTGAATAATATTATACTAACCAATTAGATGACAACATATGTAAAATCTTATTAACTCGAATAAAATCAAAGAATACAAATTATTGTGGAGAAATTATTAGATGTTTTCGGTTCATCACGTCATTCGTAGTCCCAATCAATCACATCTGTCCACATCATTTTTTCAATGTGAATCTTCACCTCTTTTTTATATGTAAATAAAAAATTAGTAGTTATTTTGAAATTTGTAATTGTCGTTCATTGAGATCATGAATGACGTGGTAATTTATCATTGTGGTTGGAGTAAATTTCAAACTTAGTTACTATAATAAAATGTCTAAAAATTAATATTTAATATAATTTAATTCTTTCAATCAACGTTTACAACCATAAATAATAAAAGTATTATTTCATCAAACTCATAATTTTATATAAATAAAGTTATAATGAATTTAATCTAACATCTACACAAATACGAGACGAGAGTGAATGAATTAATCCAATCGTCACCTAACTCCATTGCCTTCCATTCTTCGAAAGTCAACTTTCTATACTTTCTTGGGTAAACTACACAGGTGACCATCAAACTATGGTCATAAACCATTTTGACCATCACCATTTGGAAACAATCAATCAGACCACCAACTATTTAAATGATTCAATCAAGCCGTTGGTCGTTAATTTTTAACGGAGGTGATGATGTGGTAGTTAATAAAATTTATTTAATTATATATCTAGTCCTTAATATTTACAAATTTTATCAATTTAGTCACTATTTTAATTCGATTAAACAAATTTAGTCATCCAATTCGGAGGTACCACATGTCACTATATAATTGGAGGGTGAATTTAATTAATTTTAATATGTTAATTAAATAATTTTCCCACCAATCAAGTGGTGACACATGACACCACCCTTGCAAAAGAAAAATATAATAGATGAAAAAGAAGCTTGGGCAAGGATTCAAACCAGGGACATCTTTTTCTTTACCAATAGGGTAAGCCACTCATTTGATTTTAATTTGCACAATATTTTATATATTTTGTTTAAGTTTATTTCATATATATATATATATATATATATATATATATATATATATATATATATATATATAATTATTAAAATAAATTTAACAAATAAATTATATTTCACATATATATTAAATTATAGTTAATGTAATACTTAAAAATAAAAATGAGTTTAATATTTTTATTTAAATTATTTTTTACAATTATTGTTAATAATAATATATAAAATTATATTAAAATTATTTAGAGAATATAAATCAAAAAATAAAAATAATTTAATTTAATTAAAAAAACATTAAACTTATTTTCATTTTTAAGTCTTACATTAACTATAATTTATTTAAACTTATTTTCATTTCTAAGTCTTACATTAACTATAATTTAATATATATGTGAAATATAAATATATTTATTATATTTATTTTAATAATTTAATATCTATATACATGTGTGAAATAACCTTAAAAACAATATATAAAAAATTGTGGAAATTAAAATCGAATAAGTGGCTTGCCTTAGTGGTAGAGGCAAATGAGTAGCTTGCCCTAGTGGTAGGGGCATGCCTAGGGATTAAAGGGGTCACTAGTTCTAATCACACACAAATTTAATGCGTCATCTAATATGTTATACCAAAGTTGTTGAAAATATTTTGATGTTTCGATATAACAAATTAAGTGTTATTGAATTTTAAGATTTTATAATCATTTTTAAAGTATATTCGATTAAATTATTCGAATATCAAAATATTACTCCAAGTTTTTCAAAGGTCAATTTCAAACCTTACTAAAGTGTAAAATTCTTAAAATATTTTTGAAACAATTTTTACAAAGTATTTCGAACCAAAATCGAGCCAAAAATCAATTTTATGAAGGGATGTATCGATGCACCATTTGATGTATTGATGCACACACTAATTCGAATGCATTTTGTGTACCGATGCACAACCATGCATCGATGCACACCTGGCTCTTTTGAAACATCGAATGTAATTAGTATACCGATGCACCCCAAGTGTACCGATGCACTAGGTCTTATAACGGTCGAAATATTTAAATTTTACACATAGTGTACCGATGCACCATTGAGAGTGTACTGATGCACCCACGCTCCCACTAGATTTTTAAATGATAATTACTCAATAACGGCTCTATTGACTTCACCAATGATCCCCAACGTTCAGAAGTGATCCAATGTGTATTTAAACAAGCTTAGGAGCCATTGATCAACAACAATTGTGAGAGAAACAAAGAGAAAGCCTTAAACATCAAGTTTGAGCAATTCAAGCCAATTTTCATTCAATATTCATTTTTGCTTTCAAGAACATTATTTGCACTCAATTGTATTCATTCTTGAGTGTTCTTTCTTTGTTCTAGAATTGTGCAAACATATTGCCTAGTGAGGTTTTTCTGTAAGTTTGCAAATTTGTGTATTTCTCTTTGGGAGAGAGTGTTCTCAAGAATTTGGGGTATAATTCTTGAGGGAGTTGTAAGGTTACTCTTTGTCCTCAAAAGAAAGAATAAATTAATGAATTTTTTGGAAAATCCGTAGTGTGGATAGCTAAGGTAGTGAACGTAGACTTTGGTTAAGAAAATCGAACCACTCTAAATCGCTGTGCAATTATTTTCAATTTTCTGCAAAAGCTTCCGCCAAAATTTTAATTGCCAATTCACCCCCCTCTTTATCGATTCATCGATCGATTAACTCAACAATTGGTATCAGAGCCTTACTCATTTGAAGGTTTAATCACCTCTTGAGTCGATTCGGGAAGAGTTATATCGATATTCAAGTCATCAATGGCCTCTACTTCAAACTTCGACTTTGGTCTTGATTCATTGCCCATCAACAAGCATCCTTTCTTCAATGGAGTTAATTATGCTTATTGGAATAATAGAATAAGGTACTTCATTCAAGCAAGTGACATGGGAGCATGAAATAACATAGAAGACGATACATCATACCTTCCACTCATTCAAGATTGTGGAGTGAATGAGAGACAAGAATGTTCCAGCTCAACTCAAAGGCTGTCCATATTATTTTTTGTGCTCTTGGACCAGATGAATACGGAAGAGTTTCATCTTGTACAACCGCCAAGGATATATGGGATAAACTACAAGTCATCCATGAAGGCACAAACGAGGTAAAAGAATCTAAAATTAGTCTTCTAACTCATAGCTATGAAAATTTCAGGATGAAACCGGATGAAGATATCAAAGCTATGACGGATAGATTTTCCACAATTGTCAATGGTCTCAAATCATATGGAGAGATCATTCCAAACGAGAAGCTTGTGAGGAAGTTAGTTTACTCTCTTCCAAAATCTTGGCAATAAAAGAAGACGGCTATCATCGAGGCTAAAAACTTAAAATCCTTGACCCTCGATGAGCTAATTGGTTCTCTCCTCACGCATGAAATGGTGCTTCAAGATGAGGAAGACCTCAAGAAAATAGATGAGACAAATAAGGAGACCGAAAAGATTGCTCTCAAATCCACAAAAGATGAGAGTGATTCGAATGAAGATGACGATGACGAGAAAATGGCATTATTTGCCAAACGGTTCAGAAAACTGATGAAGCCCAACCGAGGAAGAAAATTCAAACGAAATGAAGGCTTCAAAACTAAATCGAAGGAGAAAGACTCAATCATTTACTACAAATACGAAAAGTCGGGGCATGTCAAATATGATTGCCCACAATTGAAGAAAAATGGTCAATCAAAGAAGAAGTACAAGGCACACGTGGCTACATGGAGCGATAATGAAGCTTCCAATGAAGAGGAACAATAAGTAGCAAACTTGTGCTTGATGGCTTTCGGGGAGGATTCTCAGGTAACCTCTAGCTCATTTAATTTCGAAGATTATTCTTTTGATAAGCTGTTAGAGGAATATACTGGGTTGGCTTCGGATTATGAGAAATTATTTTTAAAATACAAGAATGATATTTCAAAATTGAAAAATGAAAATAATCTCATATTCAAGACCAACAATGATCTTGAAAGTAAGATCAAAGAATTGCAAATCAAAATCGAAGATTTTGAAAAGAAAAATATTGATTTACATAACTTACTTTCAAGAGTAAACGACGATCATCAACAGAAAATTGATGATCTTAAAGCTTCTTTTGATAAAGTTGGAACAAAACGTTTTGAAAATTCAAAATCCAACTTTGTTAGAAAAAGTTTTAAAAACTGCATTCATAGAGGTCCTCAAAGAACCTCTAATGAAAAAATTGTTAGAAGTATATGGGTTCCTAAAGAACTCATTACTACTAAAGATAAGGATATCCTACACAAATGGATACCAAAGGAGACTAGAATTTTAGAAACTAATGAATATGGACCCAAAAGAAATTGGGTACCAGAAATAAAAAATTAATCTATGTTTATTGGAAAAGGAGCATTGCTACAAGGCACGAGAAACAAGTTCAA